TGACTGGAGGGAGATGAAATCTTAGAGTAGTTTTGATTGGCATTTCTCTAATTGCTAGAGATGATGAACATTTTTTCATATATTTGTTGATTGATTGTATATCATCTTCTGAGAAGTGTCTGTTCAGGTCCTTGGCCCATTCATTCATTGGGTTATTTCCTTTTTTAGTGCTTAGCTTTTTGAGATTTTTAGTGCTCTATTTGATGTGTGAGGGTTCACACATTTGCAGGTAAATAGATGGAGTTAGAGAAATCATGCTAAGTGAAGTTAGCCAATCCCCCCCCCAAAAAAAAAACAAATGCCAAATGTTTTCTCTGATATAAGGAGGCTGATTATTGTGGAGTAGAGAGGGGGAGCATGGGAGGAATAAACAAACTCTAGATAGGGCAGAGGGGTGGGAGGGAAAGGGAAGGAATATGGGGTTAGAAATGATGGTGGAATGTGATAGACATTATTATCCAAAGTACATTGGTATTAACATACTTTGTATACAACCAGAGATATGAAAAATTGTGCTCTAAATGTGTAATAAGAATTGTAATGCATTCTGCTGTCATATATAAATTTAAAAAAAATAATTAATAAAAGAAAGAAAACATAGAAGGAAAAAAATTTAGTCTAAATTTTAAAGCTGAAATTCAAGCTTACAACTACCATGATGTATAAGTATCCTTTGGGAAAAAATGTTGGAACGTTTATCTTAGGAAAGAAAAAATGTTTCTTCCGTTCTAAATAGAAAGATAGTTTTCTGAATCAAATTTGTAATAGGAGGGCTGGGGTTTTGGCTCAGTGGTAGAGAGCTTGCCAAGTATGTGCGAGGCCCTGGGTTTGATCCTCAGCACCACATACAAATAAATAAATAAAATAAAGGTATTGTGTCCAACTACAACCAAAAAATAAATTTTAAAAAAAAATTGTAGTAGGAGAACTGATCACAGCCTCACTCTGAGAACTGCCTCTGGGCCTTTAAAAGGTTGAATGTCAGCTATGAAGAAAATGTTTTCCAGACTAAATACCTTCTCACACATGGACTGATCAAACCAAGAAACAAGTATATCCAAAATCCCTGTCTGCTACAAATCAGCTTTTTATTTAATATTTCCTAAATAGTTTAGAGCACTATTTTTCTGATAGCAACAACTAAGCCCCATACAGTCAATATTATCCTTAATAATCTGGTAGAAAATTAAATATTAGACTCAGTGATTTCTTACAATTACAACATTGCCCACATTGCTTTATTTTTTTAAAATTACTTCTCTCCAAAGCCAGCATGTCCACATCTTTCTTTACATGAGTGATACTTCCCTTGGGTTAAGGACAAGCAAGTCTGGAGTTACTCTCCTGTAATACCCAGTCCTGGATATAGCCCAGCCATCCACTTTTGGGCTCATCTGTTTCTTCCTGATCTGGGGTGTATCATATTAAGGCTTCTGCTTAGAGTCAGATCTAACAGTTGGGGCCAAAAGGACAGAATCCATTGGACTTGAGGCTCCCTTACCTTATTTCTTTCAGTTATATCATTAAAGCTATTATGTTGTGAGAGTTGTGAATTAAACCAAACAACTTTTCAAGAGCCAGATTGCTCAATAATTTCCCAATCATCTCATTAAAATAATAGATTAATTAAAATAATATGTAAGCACTTTTGGGCTGCCTCTTAACCAGAACCCCATCAGTGATCATCAGACACTTGGGATCAACTATAATCAGGGCTAGTCTGAGAAAGAAAAAAATAAACATTTCAAAGGGAGGTAGGGCAAAAGAAAATCTTTTATTACTTAAAACATAAAAATTTGAATGTCGTAAGATAAAATAGCAAAAGATGTCTGAAGTATAAAAATATACATAAGCAAAAATAAAACATTATGGAACACAATTTATTAAAACAGGATACACATAAATATGGCCTGGTATATTGGTCAACATTTAGCACTATTTTTCTGAGTCCCTCTTCTATGCCTGACTTTGTTCCAAACTTCAAACTCATCTTTGAACATATTATATAAAAGCATTTGTCTTTCTTGAGCTTGTATCCTATTGGCAGATCATAGACTGAAGAGTAAATGATTTACTGTTAGAAAGTAAATGCATGGAGAAAAATTAAACATGGAAGGGAACAAGAAATATCTTTAGGGGGTCAGAGGATATAGGAAAGGAGACAGAGAGGAAGTGACACTTGAGTCTAGTTAAAATAGGTGAAGAAGTGAGCCACATATAGATACAAAGAAACTTCCAAATGGAAGGGGACAGCAAGAGTGCAAAGTTCCTGAGACAGAAAGAGACCTCTGTGTTTCCAGAGAACTACAAAAACAGTGTTGCTGGGTGAGAAGAGAGTTAATTCAGGTGAGATATGGAGAGTGGAGTGGATCCTAAAAGCTGGTTTGCTTTTATTCTCAGTGAGACAAGACGTTATTAGAAAGTTATGAGCAGTGAAGTTATATGATTAGATTTAAGTTTTAATAGGCTCACTCTGGCTTTTATGGTAGTTTTTTGTTTGTTTTTGTTTTTGTTTTTGTTTTAGGGAACTGGTCAGAAGCTTCAAAATTAAAGGGGTCTAACATTTAAAGATGGCTTTTGTACAACTTATATAGTTCACATGTGAAAATGTTCCTTGATTATTAGTGTGTGTTTACTTACTTTCTCACTAAATTAATAAGAACATTGTAACTGTACCTTTGTTTCTTCCCATTTAATAGCATGCATCTATTATAACTAGACCTATTCTGTTCCGTATTGAGTATAATGTTACAACTCTAACAACATGCTCAGACTCTGTGAAAGACTATTCTAAATTTTCTTGCACATAGTCTATGTTAAGTTCTCTCTCTGCACCTTCACCATTACTGCTTATCCTGCTCATAGTGCCATCTGCATATCAGTCCTACTTGCCTTTCAAAGTTAGCTCAGTTGCTATAAAGCCTTCACCAATTGTTTGCATTATTGTTACAGATGATAATGATTAATAACAACCAAAATTTCATAATCAGAATGTGCATCACTGAGTTTAAGCAAATATTTGTATGCTGTATGTTTTTAAACAGTTTCATGTTTGTTGATCTAACAGGAGATCTTGAGTCAATTAACTGCTGGCTCCAAAACAGGGTCTTCTGCTCTATTTTTCAACCTGAGCTCAAGTCTTAGCTCACAACAGTGAGTTAAGCACCTGCTTGTTTGTGCTTTGATCCTTCAATCCAATTCTATAAATATATCTACCACAGTGAAACTAAGCTATTCAAAACTGATTTTCAAAGAAGGAATATAACTGGAAAGCCCAAAGGAATGGGTGATGGTAGAGAAGCCAGCTAAGGAGATGCCTGTACTTCAGATTCAGGGTACCAGAGTGCTGGATAGCTTATACACAAAACTTACTGATGCCATTTACTCAAATGAAACACCAGTTAATTCATGTGTCTCTTCAGTCACCACTAAAGCTGCAAGTTTTGCTTTGCCCATTGCTACATTTCTATGCAGTTTTGTTGGCTGCCTCTATTACAAACACATGAAGTTCTGGTGTTGGAAGTAATTTTTACCATATATTATATAAATATAGTTTATCCTAAGAATTAATAAATAGTAGGAAATAAATACTGTATCTGAGAGTTCATGTATACTATCTGTGATGTATTTCAAAGCATGAAAGACATACATTCAAAATAAAGCAAGTATCATACAATCATTTGAGTCTAGGATTATGGCATATAAAGATACAGAGAATGTATTTCTAAATATTTTCCTGGCCAGATATACAGCACTTTTAATTTCAATGGAAACACATTCCTGCTGTCTCAATAAGGAATGATCTTAAGTTGATTTAGTAGGTGTACATCAGCTCTAAATTCTCAGTGGTAGGGACAGTGGACTTGTAGATGCATTTGTTGGGGCTCTTTACATTATCTTGATATCAAAAACAACCATTTATATTCATTGAAGTATTTTACTTTCTTTAAAAGCAGCAGTGATTATAAATGAAAATACATATACTGTTGAATTTTATACTTTGCTTGTTAGTGATGGAAATCAACTTGGGTTGGAGTTCTTATGAAATGAGATGTGGTTTTCAGCTATCTATGAGTGGCCAAGAGGTCAGAGAGTGAGCAACAAGATGGACAGGTGGCAGTAGCACACGCTTGGGCTTGGATGACTTCAGAGCAGAGCAGACCTTTAGAAGTTGCAAACTGGAGGCCACAGACAGTAGAGTGGTTTTGTTTTATAGTCCTTTGTTTTTTCCTTAAAAAGCTTCATCCTTTCCTGAGTGTCATAGCCTCTGTGCTCTTGGTTGTCTTCTTTGCCTGGTTTACCCTTTTATGGATACTTTACTTGTGACCAAATACATATTCCATTTTTCTAAATGATCTATGTTGTATTCAAAATGTACATTGCCTAACTGTTGGGGCAGCTGTTGTTATATAGTCAATAGATCAAGTTCATTAATAATATTGTTCAAATCTTCAAAAACAATTGAAATGTGGTCTTATAATCCAAAGAACTAACTTCTAAGTTACTCATGAGCCCAGAGGTTAGACTGAAATCAAGTACACCATGAAAAATGGGGCCAAAATGACCAAATTCATTTTTTATTTCTATAACCAAATATGTTCTCTGCCATTGAAATGGTAATGAGAAGAGAGAAGGGCAGATGAAATAAGACAGATTTAGATCTCATAATATATGATTGAATATGATTATGTGACTCATATTAAAGGGATAAGATATTTGCTGATAGTATAATTCACATTCTTAGTTCATTAGCACATAACATTCAAATTTAGTGAATAAATGTTAGAGAAGATCAGTTTTAGATATCAATGTGTCACCCCTAATAAAATCAATGTGTTGTCTGCTTATATTACTCAAAGGAAGAAGAATTTTGTTTATTCCGTGTCGTCTCATTAAAAGTTATAAAGGATTTTTGGTTATTTTAAAATAGTGTCATTAAAAATACCATGAACATCTTTTTTTCCATATTACTGACAAATGATCTTTGCTGTATACTTTAGGCATGAACTTCTTGAAGAAGCTCGGAGGAAAGGATTGCCTTTTGCCCAGTGGGACGGACCCACTGTGGTCGCTTGGCTAGAGGTGAGAAAATCAAACTAGAAGTTCCTAAGTCAATCACTACTCATTAATAGTTTTCAGAGATAAGTAAAGATAGGTTTCTGGATCCTAGCTCAACATTGGACTAGAATTGCTCAGAGAGGAATTATTTGCCTTATCTGGGGGACCTGGGAGCACTAGGATTTCACTCTGACACTTTCCTGTGATTGTAGCAGAACAAAGCATGCAGTGGGGTAAAAGGAAAGGTCTAGAGCAGAAGAAATAATTATTGATCTATCTTTCAGTTGTCGTAAGAAAGTACCTGTTCAAATCTACTAGACCACATTAGCAGAGAAGAGCTATCTTCTGTTATCTAAGATATGAAGTCCACCCAATCATAAGGGAGCTGAACCTTCACTTTTTAATTCTTGAACGTGGTTCTTACAGGTCTAAGGATCAGCGAGGTTTAGACACTTGGCATTAAGGAGAAGACATATGTCTTAGTTCCCTACTGTGTCGAAAATGAAAAAAAAATCAGTTTAATTCATGTACACTCAACTTATTAATAAATAAAATTAATTAATTAAGTTTAGTTCAAGTTAATTAAATAAGAGCCATATTCAGTATTTTCTCAGAATATAATGTTCTGGAGAAACAATGTATGACTGGGGTGGAGAGCAAGAGACACAGACACTGACAGGGAGAGGAATATATATTATTAGACCGCAGAGGGCCCCTTTATGTCATGTATGAGTGGTGGTCACTGTTATTTCCATTTAGTTCCCTAGTGTGGGCTGCTGCTAGCAGCACTAGAAGATGTTAATAGAGGGGAAAGCAGAATCTATGGTTTTCTTGCTTAATAAAGGCAATAACACACATTGTTTTAAATGGCTTGGGGTTATAAAGTCACATACCTCATTATCAGATATCTATATCTAACTAATCAATGGTGAAAAAAATCAAAACTCACTTTGGTTTTAAAAAATAGATTAGTGTAGGTATAAAATCATACTTTGCATTTTTTCTTAGACTCAACTGAAACAAGTCTGTTTCTTTTATTTTATTCTGCCATGTCAGTCAGGGAAATTTTAGCATATTAGACATCAGAACTGCTTCTTCCAAACATGTCTTTAGAATTACTGTATTTTAAAAATCAATTACAAGACAGAATGCTTAAGACATCACACCTGAAAAGTGATAAGAGTTCTTTGTTCCGATTTCACTCCAATAAAATGAGCTGCAGTTTGACAGAGTTCACTGCTATTTTGGCAAGTGATGAGCAAATCCTTCAGATAAAAAAACAGATTTACTGGCATTAAGGTGCTAGGAAATGACAGGCAGTAAAGTTGGTGCTAATTAAACCTATCCTGAGCATACAGAAATTGCTCATAATGTGATTCTTAATGTGACTCAAATTATAAAGTGGAATAAGAAAGATGAATCAGCTGGTGCTCCAATGAATGAGAGCTCTTAATGTTCACCTTCCACTTCCTGGAGTTCAGAGTCTCTAAAGAATGTTGTATAGGAGGGAGTCTGAAGCTTCGCAAACCCTTTATCCACATCAAAAATTCTTTAAAGTGCCATCACAAAGAACACTGGTAACAATGTATAGACAAGCATTTGGACAACATTAACCAGTGTGGAGGTCTTAAAAGAGGGGTACAGAATCATTAGGGTCTAGTGAAAGTGTATTTAGATGTTCTCTTTTTTAATTAAAATACAAAATTATAAATTTACAAAGTTTATAAATTTAGTTTGAATTTATAAAGTAAGAAATCAGTCCTATCTCCCATCATCAGTAATGTATCTGTCACAGTAGGGTCAAGTTTGCAGGACAAACTTGCAGGATCAACTATATAGTCATTGTGCTTAAGTTCTTTCTACCCTTTCTTATTTCAGTCACAGCCCCGTCCATACTGCTTCAGAGATTTGGCTTTTTGTTTCTGAACTCCCCCCACCACCGCCTTACATAGTTTTTTTAATATCATAGAATTTATAGATTAAAAGGATGCCTGTATAGTTATCAACTACTGAGTAACAAATTATACCAAAACATGGCATTCATTACCTCAGGGCTTCTGTAGGTCAGGTATTCATAGGTAGGTGGAAAGATGATTTAGCTACCCTGCATGGTTTGTTTGAAATCACAAGGCTGGAGATGGTAAAAGTGTCTCATTCTGTAACAAAATTTCTTCAAACTCAGAATTTCAAAGGAAAATTATAAATTGAAGTCACATTAAACAAAAATGGATTGAACCCCTTGCTAAATACAACTTATAGCTCTTCTTCTTGTCCTTATACATAAGAGGGGATTTGGTGCAGACTTCACTTTTATATATGAAAACACCACAATTTCAAATCCTTGTTCCATTACTACCTCACTGGTGTTTTTGAACAAATCACTTAATGTCTCTGTGCACCTATCTCTTCCAGGGAATATAAAAGACACTAAAAGGTTAATTATTGTTATTATTACAACCTGATTGTGTTTTATCTTACCCAACAGCTCTGGTTGGGAATGCCTGCCTGGTATGTGGCAGCTTGCCGAGCCAACGTGAAGAGTGGTGCCATCATGTCTGCTTTATCAGACACTGAGATTCAGAGAGAAATTGGAATCAGCAATCCTCTGCATCGCTTAAAGCTCCGATTAGCAATCCAGGAGATGGTTTCCCTAACAAGTCCTTCAGCTCCTCCAACATCGCGAACTGTGAGTCAATTTGTGCTCTACCCTTCCCCAGTGCTGGGCAAATAGCAGCATGTCTAAGTCCACAGAGCAAATGTGACAGCACACATTTCAATGTCAGCATGAATTATTCTGAATAGATTTAGCTTGCTCTTCATTAACCTTGCTGCTACTTTTAATAGGTTTTCAATTGAGGAGCTGTGATTCATATCAGACTTGAAGGCTGCAACCAGAACAGACTTCTGAGCTAGCATTTAGACTAAAGTTTAGATTTTTCTACTGAGCATCAAGTTCCTGAGTGTACTGTTCTACGGGGTTTTCTTTTCTTTATTATTCCTTTATTTTTAAAAAATATAATCCAGAATCTTAGAAGATGGAGCTATCAGCATTAGTGCTTTCTGAAGATGCAATACTAACTACTAACTTTTAATCAATTTTCATTATGATGAAATTATATGAGATTGATGATTTATAAATACCAAGTAGAATGCTTCCCTTCAAAACCTGCTTACTTGTAATGTATAAATCACCAATCCTTTTTATAATTTGTCCCTAAACATTAGGTTAATGGTAAATTAACAAAAGAAGCAGGCATCAATGATGAGAACTTCGAACACAAAGAGAAACTCAAAAATATTACTTTGTTCTTTCTTTATTTCATTCCCGAATTACATATTTTGTTGATAAAGGATATGGTTTCTTATGTTAACAAGATTCGACAATCGCTTTTTTTCTTTTTTTATTTGTTTGTTTTAGGTATACATGACAGTAAAGTGTATTTTGACATATTATACATACATGAAATATAAATTCCCGTTCTTGTGGTTCTAAAGGATGTGGAGTTACACTGGTCATGTATTCATATATGAACATAGGGAAGTTATGTCCGATTCATTCTACCAGGACTTATACAACATAATAAAATATAGGAGAATAAGATAAATTTGGAAGTAGGTAAAAGTCAGAAAAGTGATATTTTATTGCAGTTCTCAGGCACAAAATTAACCTGAAGATAACTTTTATATATATATATATATATATATATATATATATATATATATATATATATACTCTTAAACAATTTTAAAGAATTTGCTTCATCTCTATCATATTTATATTATTTTTCTTTCCAATATTTTATATTCTAATGACATAAATTCAAGGTCAAATTTAAAAGACTTACATCTATTTTGCATAATTCCATTTTAATGTCTTTCTAAATACCATGTAGGATATATATATATATATATATATATATATATATATATATATATACACACACACACATACACACACACAAACATATATGTATATGTATATATATATGTGTATGGATATATACATACATATATCCTATAAATAAACTATATATATATATAGATAGATAGATAGATATAGATATATAGATATACACTTTATCATAAAAACTCTTAACTATAATATTATTTTAAATGAAGATAAGAGGTCTTTACTGTAGCTAGAGTACTGCTTGAGCAATACTCATAAAGTCATAATACACCTAAAATGAAAACTGAGAAGGCCATTAAATTGTTGTAAACAATTTCAGATCTGATGAATTTCCTGACTAATTTTAGCTGAGAAAAGCATCACAACTGGTTTATTTCAACACTCTCTTCCGAAGATCATGTGTAAAAAACAAACAAACAAAAAACATAAAAGCCTTCAAATTCTGCATAAATTACAGCAAAGTCCCAAATTCTAGATTAAAAAAATTAGATATACTTTATTATTTTTATTTAGAAACAGGTCCATTCCTTAATGGAAAAAAATAAGCACTATTTTTCTAAAAATGTTTAAACAGAAACAGTTTTAACTATAAAATATTAATGATAAGACTACACTCAATTGTTTACAGAACAGGAGAAATGGAGAGAGCTTATGAAACTCATCTGGATCTCACCTCAGTCCACTTATAGGCTTTTTTTTCTCAGATTCAGATTCCAACAATGCAGAACTACTTTCAATGTCTTAAATTCCTGTACCACTTATGAGCCTTTGCAATGGCTTTTTCTGCAATTGCTCAGCCTAGAACTTTCTTCCCACCAGAATCACATGACACCCCACAATCCATCCATCCAGAGTCATCATATAATGCCTCTGAAAAGTCTCTGCTGAACTTCCAGAGTCTGGATTTGGTTCCTCTCCTGAGTTACCATTGTATATTTATGGAAACCATTTTAAAGTTCTCTCTTCTTGATTTATCCCCCAGAAGACCAAGCAATAGTAGTATAAATGTTTGTTATTTAACATAGCACATTATTGCATCCTTCTCTTTTGACATTTAGTAACAGAACATTATATTCCTCATTTCATTAAATATTAAATTGCAATATAATTTTTAATTTCTGTATATCTTTATGGAGATGCTATTGATATTTTTCTTATATAATAATTTTCATTATGTGTAAAATTTGTACATGTAACATGTTGTTGCATGAGCTATGTTTATTTGCATAGCAATATTTATATATAGAGCATTTATATTCTTAACACTTATAAATTTAATTTCCAAATTGCTTTGTGTTGCCATTTTTCCCTCTTTTTGTCAGCTTCAGTTAAAATTACTATTAACAGGGCCGAGGTTGTTGCTCAATGGTAGAGTATACTTGCCAGCACATGGAAGGCACTGGGTTCCATCCTCAGGACCACATTAAATAAATAAATAAACAAACAAAGTTTTAAAAAAATACTGGGAAAGTTGAATTTTTAAAATGTTTTGTTTGATCTAGTTACACACATGGATTGTCTATTCACAACCTTTTCAGTTTTTCCTTAGAATTACGGGAATATTTATCTTTTTATTAATTATAAAAGTTCTTTATTCACAGGGGATATATGCCATCTGCCAACTATTGATGCAAGATACATGAGACAAGTTGTGTCTCAAGCTTTAAAAATTATCTACTAAATAATTCTTCTACCCCATTTACATGGAAAATTTACTCATTTCCCATATATTACAAATAGGTTTTGCTTCATGAAACAAAAGGTTCACATAAAATTGTAGTCTGTTGACAAGGATGTGGGGGAAAAGGCACACTCTTACATTTCTGGTGGGACTGCAAATTGGTGCAACCAATCTGGAAAGCAGTAAGGAGATTCCTTAGAAAACTTTGAATGAAACCACCATTTGACCCAGCTATCCCACTCCCTGGTTGATACTCAAAGGACTTAAAAAGAGCATACTATCGGGACACAGCCACATCAATGCTTATCACAGCACAATGCACTAAATTGTGGAGCCCTTCAATAGATGAATGGATAAAGAAACAGTGATATATATACATAATGAAATATTACTCAGCATTAAAAGAGAATAAAATTATGGCATTTTCAGGTAAATGGATGGAGTTGGAGAATATCATGCTAAGTGAAGTAAGCTAATCCCAAAAAACCAAAGGCCAAATTCTCTCTGAAAAGTGGATGCTGATCCATAATGGGGGTGGAGGGCATGGGGAAAATAAAGGAATTTTGATGGGGCAAAGGAGAGGGAGAAGTGGAAAGGGGATATCAAGATGGTGGAATGAGATGGACATTATTACCCTAGGTACATGTATGACTGCACATATGGTGTGATGCTAAATCATGTACAACCAGAAATGAAAAGTTGTGCTGCAATTGTGTACAATGAATCAAAATGCATTCTGCTGTCATATATACCTAATTAAAATTAATTAATTAATTATTTAGTTATATCTAATTTAACCAGGCATAAAGACACATGCCTGAATTCTCAGATACCTGGTAGGCCGAGGTCGGAGGGAGGCAAGTTTAAGGCCAGCTTCCTCAACCTGGGCAACTCTGTTTCAAAATAAAATAAAGAGAGACTGGATATGTTGCTCAGTGTAGAGTGCTTACCTAGCATGTACAAGGCCCTGGGTTCAATCCCTAGTACCACACACACACACACACACAAATCTAATTCATAAAACAAAGATTGACGTCTTAAATATTACCTAAAATTATGATAGGATTTATATGTAGAAAATAGAAAAGCAATTTGTGTTTTAAAAGAAATGTTGTCATATCTCTAAGAACACTTATATTAGTTCAAATCATGGAAACATGTTTGTATCTTTGGGTTCCCATGTTTTAGTCAGGAGTGTCTATCTAGGATAGGTGTGTGTGTGTGTGTGTGTGTGTGTGTTAGGGCTTTCTGTTTTGTTTTGTTATTGATTAGAGCTTCAGTCTGATTCTGCCTCCTTTCCTGTCTAGATGAAATGAACTGGACCCCACAAGGAAAGTCTAAAGGTCACCTTTATTATTTCCTTGGGCCAGCCCTAATCTTCCAGCTTTCGTTTTCTTTTTCCTAAATTACTATTACTGAGGAAGACCTTTTACCTAATTGAATAGGGATGGAAATAATCAGCTAATTAAAATTCAGCTCAAGAGAGATGTCACAAAGAAAAAAATGGGTCTTTTATCTTAAGTACAAGTATTCTGATATTCAGCCATTTGCAAATTTAGAGGATGCCTCTGGGACTTAGAGTAGTTTCCAATGCCTGGAGTTTCACTTTATCTATGACCTCATTCATTAAGTCTTCCCTTTTCTTAGTTCAGCTTTTTATTGATGTTATTATTTCTTTACTTTTAAGTGATAACTTCTAGATAACTCGAAGAGATATTTGAGTGCAAATCCTTCTGGACAGTTATACTTTCCTCCCAAAACTTTGATAAAATTGTATCTCATTGATTTTGTGTGTTCAGATTTGCCTTTATCTGGTCTTTTCAAATAATTTGACTTACTGTTTATATGTGAGCAAAAATACTTTTTTAATGTAATATTTATTTAAATCACATAATCCAAAAAAGAAAAAGCAAGTGCAGTGGAAATAAATAGATTTGGAAACAAAGATGAAAGATCTTTGACAACCATATTTTTCAACAGATTTGTACAAAAACATAAGGGATAAGGCAGGCATTCCGTCCCACAATGTATAAGGGAAATAAAGAGTATTTATTGAACCAAGGATTTGCTTCAGTGGAAATTGCTTAGTAAAGTTTCAGCAATATAAATCAGTGGAACTACAGCAAAACCAACTTCAATAATCAATAACAATGGCTAAAAGTCAGCCACTGTTTTGAGTTTCTTGTAATAACTCATCCAAGCTTCATGTTCACACTATGAGAATGGAACTTTTATTTGTCTCTTTTACAGATGGGGAAAACAGATATAGAGAAGTTAAGTGACTCGTTTAAGATGACACTCATGTGTCCTTTGACCCCAAATCTGAGCTCCTTCTTTCCTTCTCTGCACGGGTTTTTCTTCTTTCTTACTGCATTCTTTCAGCCTGCTTTGATCCTCTTTTCATTTTTACTAGCCTCATAAGTCTGAATACTGAGTATAAAATGAGGTATAGTTAGATAAATTAAATAAATGAGAAACAAAAGCTCTTAAAATGAGAAGCAAAAATCCAAAGGGGGAGAAATATAAATCTAGACATTGAAGTGTAAAACGTAAATTTCAAGTTACTTTAATTTGTAATTCAATTACAAATTGCAGTATAAAACCATACTTCAAAATGACCTAGGTCATAACAAATGTTACTTGGAACACCATAAGATTTAGGATGATTCTGAGATCTAGCTGATATTTACTGATCCTGTATCTCTGACAGCAAGAGAGTTTTCCTGTGATTCATTTTCATGAGTTGTTCCTTAAGTTTATTTTAATATTTATTCTTCTGTCATAACTTTTTCAGAATGATTTAATTGGGCAAGTACTTGAATTCTTCATATTAATTAGGACTTTTCTCCTCAGTTCTCCTTTGATAATACTTTCTAAGTACTCTATCTGTACTAAAGAGGCAGATGAGGCACCTCTAGGCTAGCACAAGATTTAAGGAAGTTCCAATGGTCAGGTGCCAAACTTGCACTTGAACCACACTGAAAGTGAGTGCTTACTTAAATTGAGCAACTGGGGATTTCACTTGCTGAGTCCCAGTCCTGTGTCCTACTATACTATAATTTAAAGTTCTCCGTATTTTTCTAGTATGAAATATGTGCTTTTAGTTTCACTTAAGAGATGAAGAATCTGAAATTTAGAGAGGTTTATAGAAAGGTCTCAGGGTAGTTAATACAAAGGGCCCATTCTAGAACTCAAGCCTCCTGATGATAATTTGATAACTGGAATTGAATTTTTATAAATCATCTGTTAGGCTCAGATGATATTAGCCATAAGAATGACTACTATTTTGCATTCCCCAGTTCAGATATTTGAGGGGTTGCAACACAGGCTGCCAGCCACAGTGAGTAAATGATGCTCAGGGCTCTCAGAGGACCACAGCCAAATTCTGTGAGGTTTCTTCTTTATGCTTTTCCAGCCCACTGTTTGTATTCCCTTTACCTTTGATTCCATGGCATCTTATATCTTTGGTTGCTCAAAGCCTCTTGCTGTAGCTATTCTGTTAGAGACATTCTTCTCTGAAACTCTGGGCTCTAAACTGCTCTTTCATAATACAACCAGAGGAAGGTGGAAAGAACACAATCTGAATATTTCACTTACTTTATGTGGACTTGCTTGTAAAAGAAGCTCATTAAAACCTCAACTATTGGGTTGTGTAGCTAGCTATCTTGTGGGTTACTTTACAAGATTATAGGCAGGCAATGCTCTTTACAGGTAAAACCCCACATCAAACGGGAACATCTGACATACAACAACATTCGCCAACAACATTTCAGCAAAATGCCCTGGATATATACTCATTTTTTCAAGTAAAGATAACAGATTATAAAACATACTTTACAGCATCTTCCAGAATACAGTGGTAAACTGGCAAACATAGACTTTAAAATAACCTGAGAGAGACTATACAAATTTCTATTACAATATGAGATAATACTAGACAAGTTTCTTTTGGAAGAAGTGAAATTGTCATTGTTTGGATACAGAAGTAAAGTAGAAGTTACAGAAACTAATATAAATAGGACTGGCTTAAATGATTTTTCCCTCAAATATTCATCATTTTTGAACAAAACTACAGCTACTCTGACAAAGCACTGTGATCAACAGGTGTACAGAAATTGTAACATATGAGTTTGAAGTCTTCTTAGTACAGTACACTCTTCCTCGGTCAATAAATACAATTATCTTCCAAATGATCTAATGTTTAATATATGCCTATACAGCTGTCTGTTTATAATGAACACCATTCCAAAATCCTCGTAGAAGGGAGGGATTTTAAATGACATAAATGGCTCCTGTATTCTAAACTGTGTTTTCTAAGAGTGCACATATTTTGCTTATAGGGAAAAATGGGCTATCTTTCAAATTCTAAAGCAATAAGAGAATGAGAATTTTATACATGTGATATCTAACATTTGGAATTATGATTTACTTTTCATTATAAATCTCTTACCCAACTCCCTTTGTTACCCAAATATATATATATCTTAGCCTGTCAGACACACACACATACACACACATCATTTATATGATATTTCATTTATATAAAATTGTATTCAACAATTTAATTTATATATGGTTACTTTTTCAATTGTATTGAATTACATTATTTATAATACGAAGAAAGTTAGCCATGGTATTATGCAAGTGGTAGAAAAGGACATAGTGAATTATAGTGCTGACTTACACATGAGGTTGGGCATCAACTTTGATGTTTCCAATTCTTTAAAATTGGACCTCTTCCAAAACAAGTTACAAGTCAAATCATAAAAAGTAAATTTCATGAGTATTTGGGCAACCTTGAAGTATTCCATCCCAGTGAAATGGTAGCTTCTGATAAATGGTAGAATTTGATGCAAAGTGTTTACAATAACCAGTACTTTAAATAATGTGCAGATTCTATATGTTATTATACGGACTTTGAATTAGAAATTGTTTATTATTCAGTATATAATGTTATGGAAATTGTGGTCAGCAAGAGACCAAGCACCACTGGGCAGGTTGGAGAATCAGGTTTATTTACTCCAGGGGACCCAGTTGAGCTAGCTAGTGCTCTGAAGGTCTAGGCCCAGAGTTGCAATTACATGGGACATTTATAGGAAATTTGACATCATTTTTTAACCATTACAACATTGGTGGGTTTGAATTCTTGGCCTATGTGTCCAAGACCATGCACAAGGAATTTGCAACAAGTAGTTCACAGGTGTAGAACAAAGACAGTAAAATACTTGCAAGTAGCCTTTACCACAGGCAGCAGTCACTCAAGATGACTTGAGTTTATCTCCTTAAGAACTATATTTCTAAGAATTAAGCCTACAAGTTTATAGTTTAGGCTGCAGTGAATTGGCATGTAACCGGTAAGACAATTTATACTAGCAATTAAGTGATGAAGCTACTTTCCTACAGCAGTTCAGAAAATTACAAAATATAAGAAGAAATGACTCTTCACAGAAACCTGTTGAATCTCTGGCCTTGAAAGCCTGACCCAGGGGTGTTTACATTTCATGAGGGAGTCATCAGACTCCTAGAGACAACTTTTTACAATCCAATAGATAAGGACCAAGTATTAATTAAGCTCCCTGTAGAGAAGCTGAGAAAGAGAGTGGGGGAAATTAACCCTTTCCCCAGGTGTTGGTTCTTTATCATAAGGTTATTAAAATTTCACTTTATTATCAAGTTTGGTTTCTCCATCACAATAGAACTAATATCAAATATTGACTTATTTAGAAATCAAAGGGGACTTCATAATATGATAGTTTGTTTTTTTTTTTTTTTTTGCATTTTAGAATAGGATTTTTTTTTTCCTTCTATAATGGTATAGGATACTGTTGAAGAATAAGGAAATGTATAAGTTTTGCAATTTGACAGTTAATTTTAGTGAGGCTGAAATATCTTTTATTAAATTAAAAAATAGCATTTTATTTATTTTTCATTTATAAGCATACAGAAAAATGACATGAATCCTGAATTGCAAAAGAAAAAAATCATCTGGAAAAAGCTGATGCTGATTTCCAGACAGGTTATGATAGCACTTTCAGCTTTATATTGACAGTCATTTTTTTTCTCTATCCAAGGACACTGATGAATCAAAATTATGTGAATGAAATTTTGATAATAATGCAACAAACCATATGTTCCATCATTTTTTAAAGAAAAAAAATAAAACTGCATTCTTCTCTAATCAGTTCTTCATTATTACAGAAATGGAGCTCTTAGTTATATACCTTTGAAATGCAAATTTTGATACTTCCCTTTGTCTGATTAATAATCACAGAAGTGTCTTTGAAAGCTATCCCATGAGCTTCACTGCAAGCCTCTGTCTATTTAATCCCCTGTAGTAGAAGAAAAAGGGAGCCCTGAGCCAAACACCCAAGCTGTCTGTCCTGCATGCTACTAGGGCAGGGGCACTGTGGCCAGCTGAGATGCTGTTACTCACAGAGGTGCTGCCTTTCTCTTTACTCTCTTGCCTCCTGGATTCCTTGCTTCTCTCTGGGCTCCTCCCTAGCCTTCAGGCAACGTTTGGGTGACCCATGAAGAAATGGAAAATCTTGCAGCTCCAGCAAAAACGGTTAGTCTTTACCGCTTTATTGAACCTGAAGGAAAGTTATTTTACTGCTATTTGGATTTAAAAACTAATTTGTTTGAGGTTGCTTTTATATGGCATGCAAAGATAACTAATATTTTTGTTACAATTTTATTTTACAACACTGATTTGACGTATTTAAATGAAACAGTGTTGGATTGCCATAAAGTAGCAAATGTCGTAAGTTTGTAGTATGCCAACAATAAATACTTGCCATTGGATACGTTAACAGGTCTCAGCATGTTACCAGTCCAAATTAAGCTTGTTATAGAAAAGTTTAGATTGAATCCTCATTTAAAAAATAATTGTGTAGTCTCTTATGCTTTAGCATCTCAGTTTTTCAAAAGCACAGTTTTTAATTACTTCTTGGGACCTCTACTTATCAATTTTTAAAACACAATGTTATACATAGTCACTTTTCATATAAAGTAGCAAAGTTGGGCACATCATATATTTTAACTTTAGCCACTTCTTTTTTAATTCAACGTCCTTTCAGTTTTATCTCTATTTGGAACATTGATTTTCTAGAAGTTTATGATGGATAAAATGAAATTTCAAATACTAATTTCATTTTTTGGTTTAGTTTTGTTGTACTTGATTTTTGTTTTATTTTGTTGGCTGTTGTTGAAATCCATTTGATTACCACAAAGTATTAAAAATACAGTTACTCTTTTTGCTTCAGTAATGTATTTTGTGTAATATTTCTCTATCATATATATGTAATTATATATTATCAGAAGTTTGTATTATAGCACATTACATTTGAAAAATTATATGCTGAAGAATTAAGTAGATTTGGAATGACCAGGTCAAATGTTTGCAATATCATGAAAATCCATTATGTATAAATGTATTTAAAATTAAATTAGAATTAATTCAGAGCTATATTATTGCCCTGTATTCCCTCTTGATCTGGGAAATTAATAGTTGTACATTGTAGTAAAAATCTCTATATATGCTTATGTAATGATAACATTTTATATAAAAATGTTACTTTTGCTAGGAAAAATTTCTGTATTCATTTGAATTTCTGTATTCATTTGAAATTAACTTATATTTACCTGCTTTATTAATCATTTCCTGCTGCTAACACAGAAAGAATCTGAGGAAGGAAGCTGGGCCCAGGTAGGAAATTTATATGCTTTAAGCCAAGTATCATTTAGTAGGCTATGAGGATAAAAATTAGGAAACTACCGTAAGTCATATTTGAAATATTTGAAATTTTTACTTATCTCAATATTAAGCTGATATGGATGCTTAAATCTATGTTACATGTGTCTTTTTTAAATAGGATATTTTGCAAATAATATCATAATCATTTCATAACTGGTTTCTATGGCAAGGTAATTTTATTTCTTCCCCAAAGAATGATCTGTAACTTCAGTATCTCTGAAATCACCCCTGGATGTATTTTAACAGGAATCACTCAAGTTGGATCTATGGGGGGAAATTTAAAAGGCTAATTTGGAGTTCTATAAGCTTTAGGGTATCCTGTAGAGTGTATAAGGACTGGGGCTCATACAGGTGTATGAGGGACAGGTGTCAGCACTGCAGACTGCATGTCAAGAAGACACTGTCTTTTACTACAGTGACCACAGGCAATAAGCATCTATGCTTTCAATAAACATGTTTGTAAGGAAGCTGCACATTTTCTACAGTATTTCTAGATGTTGGATAACTAAAGAATAAACGTGTTATGATCAGTGTGATTCAAACATGAACATAAGAAAAGTTTGAGTAATATTATTAGGACCTATATTTAAGCATATTGTCATAACTTAGAATTGCATTGAATTTTGATCTTATTAAGAGTTTTATCAATTTTAAAAAAAGGAAGCTCCTAGATTTTCACTAGGTGTATAAGTTAGAAGTGTGAATTCCTGGTTTGATTTTTATGCAGTAAAAAAACATGTATAAATAGAATTTTATAGGAAATTCTGTATTAAGAGAGAGAAAAAATATCCTTTAAAAACTGAGTTTAGTGGTGATCGTTGATTTGATTTTTATTTTAGTTGTTGTACCAGTATTTGGCAAGTTCAGTTCTTATTATTATATTAAAGAATTAGATTGTCTTTCATAGTTTTGAATCATGCCCTGCTTCTTTAAGTACAGTTTAAATTGATTGATTTCTAGAAAGAGCTTCGATTATGGTCTTTATGAAATGCTACCCACATGCTCTTCTAGGGAATAATAATTTTGATTTAATGCTTCAGCACTCTGTCTGCCTAACCTCATTGCTCTTTTCTCTATTTGTTGAAACTTTAATTTCATATCCAGGTTCACTATTACACTGGCAATGGTTGCATTGAAAAGAGGGAAATGTTGGAGTACTGGCTGACAGATATAAATAAAGTTAAATGGACTGATTAATATAAAGAAGGAATCTTGAAGCTCAAAACTCATAGTATATCTCTAATTCGAATTTATTAACAAATTACATATTTAGACAAAGTGTAATTCCTTTTGATAATGTAAAGTGGGCAGTCAATTATGTTCTATAGGCAAATAATTTGATAAATGTAGTCTGAGTTCCATTTTGTATGAAAGTAAGTTGAATATTTATAGGCTTAATATTATTTCTCCAGTGTTTTCATGTCAGAGTAATTAAATATCAGTTATAATAATGGATAATATCCTCCAATTACCATCTCACTTTATTGGTTAAGAAACTTGACTGCTATAAAACAATTCTAGTGTCCTGTTTTTCTACAGACCCTGGCTTATGGAGACATGAACCATGAATGGATTGGAAATGAATGGCTGCCCAGCCTGGGGTTACCTCAGTACAGAAGTTATTTTATGGAATGCTTGGTTGATGCAAGAATGTTAGATCATCTAACAAAGAAAGATCTTCGTGTCCATTTAAAAATGGTGGATAGTTTCCATCGGTAGGTGTTTGCCAAAGAATATTAAAGTGAAACAATAAATAATGTGTATGTTATTAAAACAAAAATAGATGTTAGACACATAAAAATGTGCTATTCAAAATATCTATGTTCATCTACTTGGAAAAATATTTCCAGGCAGCAGGGGACAGAGATTGCAATGTAGAGCTGTGTTTGTATTATATACCCAAAATTTGTGGAAATATGCCAACAGAAAATTTCATTTTCATAGAGCTTAAGTTGATTTTGGGGGCCTGAATCTTTAGGAAATTCCATGTTTGTAGTTTTTCTAGGTATATATATATATATATATATATATATATATATATATATATATATATCAACTTTGACTTGATAGGCACCTTCTCTTTGTGTCCTCATGTGATCTTTCTTCTTTGAGTCCCTGCTAATGCTGTCTCTGTCCACATTTTTCCTCTTATAAAAACACCAGTCATTAGATTGGGAACCACCGTAGTGGTTCCATTTAATGTAATTACCTTTTTAATATCCTCATCTCCAAATACAGTGACATTCTCAAGTACTGGGGATTAGAGCATCATTGTATGAATTTGGGGAAAACATACTTCAGCCCAGGTGCAGGTTTCCCTCCCTCCCTCCCTCCTTTTCTCCCTTCCTTCCTTCCTTCCTTCCTTCTTCTGATTCTGAAATATTTAACTCAACATTGTTTTATTAAAATGCAGAGCTTAGAAATGCATCTAACATTTACATGTCACCTGGCCTATATATATATATATATATATATATATATATATATATATATATATATATATATATATATATATATATATATATATTTAAATGTGTGTATTCTTTAACACTTAAATTTTACCAATAGCTAATGATTGTGCTTCTAAACCTAGATATTCTTTTTTTCTATCACACTGCCATGGGCCTTATATCTAATATCACAAAAATCTTCTAGTTTCTTCTCTCTGAACATCACTAAAGTCAGGATTTTCATGGCTGTTCCCCCTTAATTGGTTTTCCTATCCCCTGGGATTACCTATTTTCCCCATGTCCTTTTTTTTTTTTTTTTTTTTTTTTTGCCATGAGACCTTTCTTCTCTAATTGCAGAGCTCTCCTGGAAACACCCCACTCTGCTTATATAACAGTGTTCCTCCTACATCCTGGCCTGGGTTTACATTCTGGAGGGAATACCTCACTGTCACAACACCTTTGACATTCATCTGCAAGCCTGTGTTCGTGATGCTGCAACATTTTCCTTAATAACCCTTTTCTTGCTACCTGATCTTTTAAGGATCAATGTTCTGCTCTTCCTTTCCACATAAAGTCTCAATATCTGCTGACTCTTTCTCCCCTGTAATACTCGGTTATCAGAGTTGTTGACTGTTCCTTTTCCTATTTTTTTCTCTATTGTATTACTGAAATTACTCATGTCTTGTGCTTATTTTCTCCTCAGCTTAAGAACAGGGTATCCATTTCTAACAATTTTCCTTGTATCTCCTTCAGGTGACTTTAATTTTTTTTTGTAAATGAGTAAAATATGAATTTGTTAGCACATAATGTAGAGAGACCTAAATGGAAGGCAAAGACGTATAAATGAACAACATGACCCAGGTTATTTTCAAAGCTGTATTTCTTATTTTGTAAATAATTTTTCTCCTCTTTAGAAAGAAAATGCTTTGTAAGCGTTGTGTGCCTAGAATAATTATAAACTTATTTCCTTCCAATACTAGAGGACTGAATTGGAAATGTAATTTATCGACCAGATGCCCTAAGAAATTGTGCATAGTGTTGCCTAGTATTCAGCAAAGGAAAGTCTCCACCTGCTGAGTAAATTTAATGTGTTATTTGTTTTAATAACAGAACAAGTTTACAGTATGGAATTATGTGCTTAAAAAGGTTGAATTATGACAGAAAAGAACTAGAGAGAAGACGAGAAGCAAGCCAACATGAAATAAAGGGTAATATGTCTGTCTTTCATATCAAATTCCTTTTCTCTGATGTTTTATCTTTTCTTTCTTTCTTTTTCTTTTCTTTTTTTTTTTGGTATATACATTGCAATGGTCATTAAGTAGCATACCTTTTTGGTTAGAAGTGTCATTGTCATTTGTTTTCCTAATTATAACACAGGAAAGGAAATTGTCACATTATAGAGTGAATATTTCATTTGGGACATATTATTGATTTTTTTGAACGGAGATTTATCACTCTGGACCTGTTAATTTTGTTTATATTGAAAATATCTCCATGCAGATGTTTTTGTCAAACTTTTAATGGAACACTGTTGTTATGATTCAGAGAAACATGGATATTTACTCTTTATTGCAATTCTACCTTGACTTACATAATTTAAATTTTCAGCATCCCCAAATTTTCTTTTGGATGATAATTACACATATAGAAGCTTTTCCCCTAGAAACTAGATTAGTGAATCAATAATTTTAGCTGAGCATGGTTTTAGGAACATTGTTAATTCTGCAACTACTCTGTATACAAAACTAATTAATTCAAATACCAAGAACCACATATTGCAGATGTATTGAGAAGTATCATATTTAATAATTAAACATTGCATTAGTTTTGTGTTACTATAACAAAATACTTGAATGTATGTTGAAATTACTGGTTAAAGATATTTTTCTGTATATGGTTCATTGAAGAGTAACTAGACACACATGGATTTCTCCTAACACTTCATTGGCTCATTACTGAGGAGCAAGAAAGTGTTTTTCCATTATCAAAATCGAGTTGTTTGATTTTGTTTCATTTTGGAGACCCAGGAAATTGGAGGTCTTTTTCAGCACATTGTTCTTCAGTTGAATTGAAATTTGGAAACTAATGGACCAAAGACAGACTCCCAGAAGGCAGTGTGTATTTGACCTAACAAAGGGTGTTTCAGCTCACAAATAGATTTTGCCGATGGGAGACCACTTTCTAGTTTTCTTCCTGAAGTATTTTTTTTTTCAATCAGATTTTATAATGCCTTGTTTCACCACCTGAAATGCTTCACATATAGATAGATCTAAAAGAGAAGAATTACCCATTGGGCTCTATACCAAATGTTATATTAGTATTTGGCAATTGCTGGTTAGAGTGTAGCCTTGAGAAAAACTGCCATGATTCACTATGATTATATACAAATAACTCCATATGCTAACTAGCAATGAGTGAGATCATAAATAGCCTCTATTTCCTATAATTGATCTGGTGGCATTTACAGGAATAACACTCAACTGTAACTAGAGGTCTTGGTTAATATCTGAAGTGTTAATTAACCCTGACCTTAATAAACAGCTTTCTAAAGTGAAAAAAGTATCAAGAATGTACTAACATTTAATTTGTTGCTAGGAAACAGTCAACATTTATTGTTTAGGTCAAGAGGATTCCTACAGAACATTAAAGTCAAGGCACAAATTATGCCTGAAAACAGGTTTATAGAAAGGGGCTCTGATTTACAAAATGAAAAAAAGAGTATGTTGCTCTTCTGAAAAAGTTGAATTAATGCTTTATTTGTCTTTACCCACAAAATGTACTATTTTATGTATTTGACCACTCTTGATTACAGGTATTACAATGGAAATTTTGATTGACATATATTTGCAGAAAAATTATGGCAGCCTAACATATCTTAGACTACCAAAACATTAACCCAATTCTAGAAAAGAACAAACACTTCTAACTCATAACTCTACCTAGGAAAAAGAAAACTGGACAATTCTTAGTGTGTTTTTGATGAAAATATTTCCATTAATCTTTAAAAATAATGTTGAATTTAGTAAAATCACACAGAGAACTGTTGCTGCCACCCATACCTACCTGCCCAGCTTTTAATGTTCAAGTGCAAGATAACCAGTAGTTCAAAGAATCAGTTGCAGTCAACAGCAGCTGATAATGTAACCAAAATATAATACTAACCAACTCACATCTCATTTTCTGAGGCTTCACACCTCAATCGAAAAAGCTAATGCAAACTCAGAGGAAAACCTGCACTTCAGAACTCATCACTGGAGACCCAGCAAACTTATAACATAAAATTCCCTATTTACTAAAGGTCAATGAGAAATTTGACCTCCTTTGCTTTGCTAACGACATGGGAAAAGAAAAAGAAAAAACTCTGAAAGGGACAATAAATATCCTACTTCCTGCAAAAATTCATTCTGCTCTGGATGAAATAGGTAGTGGTAAAAAGACTGGGAAGCAGACATCCCTCACCTGTTCTTTATGGTTAAAACCAAAGAAAGACTTAGCACCTTTCTTTTCAAATGAGATTATTCCAAGCCAAATCAGAAGTTAAGTAAAGAGATGGGGGTAGATACATCTGTAGTTTTCAGATCATATACAAATGCTTTATCGGCATCATGGATGAACAGAAACAAAAAATAGAACACATTTAAGAAACTTCTATTTATGACTATAATGAAGTACATTGAATAAAACAAATTTTTAACCAATAACAAATAGAAAGGATAGATAAATCAATAAAGAGCTATTTAAAGGTAGTGGAAAGCAACTCAGACAACCAGGACTAGAGATCTTGGACAAAAGAGAAAATGCATAGCTAAATGGTAAACCAGACATCCAGGACTGCTTCTTCCCAGTCTCATAGAGCACGAGGAGAAAGGGGGTTGAAATTCAGAGGTGCCAAACTGCCAGGTTTGGAGGAATCAAGAACCTGGAGATAAGCTTGACATTTGTTACAAATTTTCTCATGACACATTGGTGAACTTTTAAGAGGAATAGAATTGGTGACCTTTTAAGAGGATTAGAATTAGAAGAAAAAAAAATTGATGTCTGGCATTCGACTTTAAAAATCAAACAGTTCAGGTAATGGTGAAAAAGAGGAAGATCAGGAGAATAAAATCAGAAAATAAGAAGATATAGTCTGCAGTTGACCTTGACACTGTACTTCCCCTGACCCCAGACATGAACTTTAAAACAACTATGATTAGTGTGTTAGGGATCATTACTTTACTTCTTTAATGTTAAACAGAAGAAAACTCAAGTTGGTTCTAAATGAATGCATTAGGACAAATTAATAATGCCTTTGAAAAAATTAATATAAAATATTCTTCCCTCTTCCTGCAAATTCTACCTTGATTTTATAGAAAATGGAAATAGGGGAAAGTAAACAGCCACGGCTGAAAAATGTTTCTCAAAATATTTTTAAGCCTTTTCTGAAAAAGGTATAAATTTCAATCAGAAACAAAAATTAACAGGAACACTTACTTTAATACAGGTAATCTTTTCCTTTCTACAAGTAGGAAAAATATTTCAAAGTTTTTCATTGACCCATATCCCTTAAAAAATTTTATTTTCTATGGAGCTTTATGGTTCTTCTGACTATTTTATTAGTTTGCATGTTACATTCTGCCAACTCATAATGAGAATAAATAGAAAAGAAATGATAAAATATGCTTTTCTAATTGTTCATCTAAAAAAATGAACATATGACATTTCTCTGAAGGTTTTATTTTTAGCAAATAGAAATATAAGTGTTTTGTACCTCAATAAGCTACTAATTTTTCACAAAAGCAAAACAACTTGCAACTTGACCAGTACTTGATTTTTGGATTAGTATGTTATTGGAAATAATAAATTAAAAATATTAGGGTATCAGTGTACTTAGTCCCTGTTATTATTTTACTGTTCTTTTTGTTTTATAAATTACTCTATGTGAGAATAAAAATCATTGAGTGTATATGCAATATTTAAGTAGTGGTTAATAAATATTTCTGATGAGGAACAACAGTATTAGATCTTTTGCTGCTTACTCTCTCTGTGTTATCAAGACACAAATAAGAAATGTCTCCCTCAGGTGGTAAGAACATTGAACTTCAGATGGACTCCTAGGGCTGTAGTATGAAAATAAGAAACTTTGTGACATGTTTCAATAAGTGTTGTTGTTTCAGTGATAGGAAACATTTTGAAAATGACAACTTTGTTTCTGGACTAGGTGCCTTAGGGAGTGGGCCAATCAGCATAAATGTGACTTGGTCGGATACCTGTGGTTTGTTTCAACCAGAGGTTGTCTTCACTGAACAAAGTACTGCAGGCTAACAAGATGCATCTCTTTCCCCAGATGTGCTGGTATGGAGCAATGATCGAGTTATTCGCTGGATACAAGCAATTGGACTTCGAGAATATGCCAATAATATTCTTGAAAGTGGCGTGCATGGCTCACTTATTGCCCTGGATGAGAACTTTGACTACAGCAGCTTAGCTTTATTATTACAGATTCCAACACAGAATACTCAGGCAAGCCCCTTTGTGCTGAAGTCTCATTGGTCTTGGTTAATGTAATGACAAACTTAACTTTTAGAGGAAAAATGCAGCTCTGTGTTCACAATTCTTGTTTTTTAAATTAAACTTATTTTTAACTGATACAATAAAAACATAAAAATCATACATACTAATGGGGTAATGTGATGTTTCCATATATATTATACTGTATAATATTTAAATCAGGCTAAACATATGTATTTACTCAAACATTTATCATTTCTTTAGGGTGAAAGTATCTAAATCATTTCTTCTTGCTTTTTGAATTTAACAATAGCACACCAGAATATCTTGTATCTTTGTAGTTGCAACTTAGCACCCATTAATTAACCTTCCCACTCCCTCCCTATACTTTCTTCAGTCTCTAGTGGCCACAGACTACACTCAACTGCTATGAGATGAACTTTCTTAGATTCCACATATGTTGAAGATCATGCAATACTTGTCTTTTGTGCCTGGCTTATTTCATTAAACATATTCATAATTCTTAGTAAAAGTTAGCTCAATCTTTGAAATGTGTCACCAAGATATTAATTTCAAGCTACTAGATTTCTAGCCAAAACAAAATCATAAAATTAAACAAGAAGGGTGTTGAAGGTTTTCTAATTTCTTCCCTGAATGCCAAATTCCCAAAACAATATCCCTGACAGATGACCATCAGTTTCTTCCTCTCTGATAGGCAGTTCTTTCTATTAAATTGTCTGAATTATGCAGACACTTCACATTGGGTATGCCAGTGATTACCAAATCCAGATAATTATTTGAATCAGTGGAGTTTCATTCAAATTAAAAGTAATCTCTCCAATCTACATCACATCCCTCTAAGAAATCAGTTATGAAGGAATAGGGCACAGGGATTTTTAATATCTAAACTGTCTCAAAATGACTGTTGGCCAAATTTGAGAAGTACCTGCATAACTCTGATAAAAATTTATAGTCCAACTTCACTTTTTCTTTTGTTTTGAATATTTCAAATTTTATATGAGATACTCAATTGAAATAAAGTAAGAAAGTGGGATCAAAGATTATTGATCTCAGAAATAGATATGAGACAATCTATCTACTCTTCCATGGACAAAAGAAAATGGCCCTCACTAGTATTTACAGCTAAAATTTGCAGTGACTTAAAGATATGGAGAAATAAAATCCTCAAGATCCCATAACAAAACTGCAGTTTGTAATGCATTCTCAGATAAATATAATGTATGTAATTTCTTTTTTAAGTAAAATGTGATTTCATTGATGGTAACTCTAACTTGTTGTCAACAGGCAAGGCAGATTCTTGAAAGGGAATACAACAACCTCTTGGCCCTGGGGACTGAACGACGACTGGATGAAGTAAGTTCTTACCCAATATTCAAAAGGGACCTTACCTGGCGGCACAAAGCCCTGCGTTCAATGCCCAGGACCCCAGAACAAAAACAAAAACTGATCTGGATCTTCAAGAGCATAGGAAAAATGACAGAACATCCTTACTTTTAAGGAATGGTCCTTGGAAATTAACAAAATACTTGTTTTGTGGATAGAATCTAAATTTTTCCTCATGATTAGTCTTAAATATCAAATGATATTATTTAGTTTTGGAAAGAACATTATGCATTCATAAATATATCACTTTAGCACTTAGAAACACTGAAAAGTAATTCAAATGGCAATTTTTTTCAACATGAATGACTAAAATATTGAGCATTTTTTTTTAATTATAAGCAATTGAAACATTAACATTGATAAGTTCAGCTTTTTAATAAGAAGATTCTTGTTTCTTAAATATTATTTCTTCTCAGAAAATATTAGGATATTAAAGTAAAAAAAATTCAATAAATATTTTCAATAAACATTCTATGTTCAATAAATTAATCTTTTCATTATTTTAGAGATCAATATTGCATTTTCCATAAAAATAAATGAAATAACTTTTAACAATCAAAAGATTTGAAAGCTATGTTCATGCTAGAATCCATATACATATGAGATATATATATATATACATATTTATATGTATATATGTTTAAGCTATATGGAAGACAGTAAACACATAAGAAACCTCCTGAATGAATGAATGTGGGAGGTATAGTAAACCCTGTGATTGATAGAAACTTTTAGTAGTCCTGAGTTTTTTGCAAAAGTTTTCTAGAAGTGAAAAGGAAACCTTATTATGAGATAGAAAATACAGAGATACATAATTCTATGTTGCAAACTACAGGTGTTTCTTGGCTATAAAAGTAGGCTGTTTAAAATGATTTTTGTGAATGAACTAGGAAAATTCTAAAATAGGGCAAAAATTCTATATTCAAATGGGCAAGGCAGATGATCTTGATATTATAAAACCCATACTCTTCTTTATGGAGGAGATTATGGTAAATAATATATATTCTATAATCTAACTTTTAATAAATTCATTCTTTTGTCCAATCAGGATATTTATCAATTTTTTTTTAATTTTGGGATTTTTTAGTTGTAGTTGGCAATATCTTTATTTTATTTTTATGTGGTGCCTAGGATCGAACCTAGTGCCTCTCACATGCTAGGTGAGCACTCTTCTGAGCCACAACCCCAGCCCCTTAACAATATTTTTAAAAATTCATTTAATACTTAATTGATTTTAGTGTTAAAAGTTTTTTAGCAGTATTTTTAGTACCTATTCTAAATTGCTGATTCAAAAAGGTAGTCTGATGAACTCCTACACTTTAGAATACAATTTTCTTATTTAAAATTAGAAAGGAATAACCAAATTATTAAAGATCTAGCCTATTGCTACATTCTAAAATGTGGATTGGCCTTAGGACACTGTCTTGGTAGAGACAGCAGCCTACATGGGATATGATGTTGCATCCTGAGGGTAATGAACAAGCAGCAAGTTCTGTTAAATGGGATGTGACTATCTGCTTTAAAAATAGTCAACCTCTTTTATTTATTTTTAAAAGCACAATACATTATTTTATTATTTAAACCCTATAGTCTCTTTTGTTCAACTTCTTTTTGAAAGAACAAAGATAGCCAAACAACTTGCCTAAAATCATAGTGGATTTATTTCTTGGACTTTGCTGATCACATTCATATTCAACTGAAACAGTCTGAGAAGTGCTGATATACCTTTGTGGGCTTTAATTATAAAGATATCTTTTAATCCCATCTCATGAAAGTGTTTTTTTTCTCCCATGACATTGTTGCATTGTGGCATTCTGTAGTAAACATACAGTATGCTAAATGACCAGATATAAGGAGTCAAATAAAACTCAACTTATTGACTAATTTTGAAGCCCTGAATACATATGTTATAGGAGTTGCATAACCCTACAATGCAATGTAGGGTTTAGTAGAACTGAGGGATATTTGTACTTAAGGCTAGCTTAATTCCTAGCTTCTTAATTCCTAGCTTCTCTAGGAATTCAAAAGTCTGAGAGGCCATAACCATGAAATTGTTTCTTTTCTTCATTTACAAACATTTGGAGATCTAAGCAATATTAAACACAATAGTTGAGAACAAGAATGGCAGACATCTTTTAACTAAAATTTGGTTATCAACATGAGGTATTTTAACAATGAATATATGTATTAATTTATTTTCAATGCCCCACATTGACTTTAAATGTCAGTTAGTTAAATTGGTAGTCTATTAAGAATTCCATATAAACCAGGAGTGGTGGTGTACCTGTAATCCCAGCAGCTCAGGAGGCTGAGGCAGGAGGATTACAGTTCAAAGCCAGCTTCAGCAATTTAGCAAGGCCCTAAACAACTTAGAACTTGTCTCTAGATAATTTTTTTAAAGGGGTGCTAGTGAAGTGCCTCTGGGTTCAATCCCTGCTACCAAAAACAAAACAAAACAATACTCCCAAGAATTCTTTATATTGTTGTTCATTTCTAACAATGAAATTTGAGCTTAAAATCAATTTCCCACATTGACTTTAAATGTCAGTTAGTTAAATTGGTAGTCTATTAAGAATTCCATATAAACCAGGAGTGGTGGTGTACCTGTAATCCCAGAAGCTCAGGAGGCTGAGGCAGGAGGATCACAGTTGAAAGCCAGCTTAGCAATTTAGTAAGGCCCTAAACAACTTAGAACTTGTCTCAAGATAATTTGTTTTCAAGATGTTTACTTTAAAGATGCCAAACCTTAGATTCACAATCACATGGAAAGTCCTATAAACACATTCCTGCTTCAAATCTCCTAATTCCTCATTTTGGAATCCTTTGAGCTCTGGAGATTAAGCATAACTATTCCATTTGTATACTCCATGGACTGAGTACAAGTAGTCTGTTACATGTTTCTAGGCACACAGTTTCATGTACCTGGACTAGTTGCTTGTTTTCATAACAGCACTTTCTGACTCTGTACCTGCAGACTGATGACAAGAATTTTAGACGTGGCTCAACCTGGAGAAGGCAGTTTCCTCCTCGTGAAGTACATGGAATCAGCATGATGCCTGGATCCTCAGAAACCTTGCCAGCTGGATTTAGGTTGACCACAACATCGGGGCAGTCGAGGAAAATGGCCACGGATGGTACAGTAGTTTTGTATTTTGGCTTGTAAAGTTAAATGCTCGTTTAGCAAAAGCAAGTGTAATTCTCTAACCTCGCATAGCTTTGTGGAATTAATTCTTTTCTTGAGTTGGTTTGCTCTGCTTGAAATTTACTTTGCTTTCATCAAAAGCCAGACATTTTGTAAACTGCTAATGCATGAACTCATGGCACTTTATTCATATTTTAAAAATAATTTATAGCATCCTAAAAAGACTGGCATTGGCTAATGTTCACTCTAGGAAGCATAAAAGACATCTGCATGACTTGTGTTTCTTTACTCTTCCATTCCCAAAGCAAATAATTTGTTTAAGGTAGTGATTGGATTTGGACATGGTAAATGGCAATTAACCCCACTGAAACCTTGCATGTTTAAATACTGCAAGTTTTGTCATATTAGAATCCAGAGCATCAGAATTTTTACCTCTGACCAAGGCCAGAGGCCTTAAATAAACCAGCACAGTCATGAGAAGAGAATTAAACACAAAGCCAACAGTAATGTCCCAATAGAATTTCCTTCAGTGGACATTAGACTTTTGCTATATAAGGAAAACAGTCATTCTGGAGAGACAACAGTGAAATTGTAGTCGCAAAATGATTTCTGTTTGTTAAACATCAAAGAAAAATATTATAAAAATATTATCTCTTTATTAATCACTGAGAATCATTATTTCTCTTCAAGGTCACAGCTTAAAAATTAGTTTCAGCATAAACTATGGTCTTCTCATTTCTTATATCTAATTAATATCTTCACATTTTTTATATCTTATTAATATTGTGGAACATGATAGCAAAATTCATGTGGAATTTAGCATGATTAAAATTAGCATAGAAGTTCCTCAATACTTGGAGAAAAACACAATTCACCATGCTGAATTCTCTGAGCCACTTCCACAACCAAAACAGAAGCACCCTGGGGAGCTGTCTTGTTGAGATTTCTTCTAAGGAGGAATACATGACCACTGGAAAGTTCCATAAATTACATTGGGATACATTTCCATTAGCAACTGGGTCTAGAGAAGAGGAACGTGAGTGGCTTACATCTGAAACAAAGAAGGTCTGCTAATATGTTCAGTATCCCTTTAGGCAGAGAAAAGAAATCTTTCTCATCTGAAATCTCGTACTCAATCATCCAAGAACCTCTAAAGCCCTTTTCTCCATTTGCAGTTGCTTCATCAAGACTGCAGAGGTTAGACAACTCCACTGTTCGCACATACTCATGTTGACAAGCCACTCAAAGGAGGCAGCACTGACCTGCTGTGAGTAGTTTCCCTTTGGCTGACAAACCAGCAAAAGAAAAAAAAAAAAAATGGAACCTACATAGACTAGTAAATAGGTGCTGTGCCTTTTGGTATGGCCTAGCAGTACAAAGGGGAGATAACCCCTTTCAACTGATAGAGGGGGGAAAGGAATCTTCTTTTTAACTCTTAGTTTGGTATTTCCTATCACCACCTGTCTGCTATGGTTGAAAGGTCTGTCTGTTGGAGGCCTATCAGTTAGTTATTACACTCGACTGGTGGTTAACCGTAATGTTTTCTACTTTTCAGAAGGATTTTGAACTGATTCCCATAGCATTTTATTAATAAGATTTTGGCACTTAAAATTTAAACATTTTAAGTGACTATTTTATAATAAGGCAGCCAAAGTAGGCAGATGGGAATTTAAGCAAGTTCTTAAGAGTCACATAGTGGCAGAGAGAGGAAAATGACTTAGAAGTGTTAAAACAAAAGTAGAAACTGAAAACGTTGAACTCTCAATATGTTGCTTTTCAGTGGTGTGATTTATATTTGTTGAAGACAAGTATGAATTTTATTAAATACTTGGAGCCCATAAGATAGGACTAAAATGAAATTAATTTATAAGAATGGAAGATAGAAACAGCCACAAACCTTGTTGTATAACCATAATATGTAGTGTATTTTTGTTTAGATAAATACCAGATGAAACTACTTCCAAATCCACACAAAAGGGCACTTTATTGAAAAATAATTTTATAACAAAAACCATATTTTCCTAGTGTCAAATGTTCACATATTATTTTGACCTAAAACAGCTTTATTGAAATACTCTAGAATTTTCAATGAATTAATATTTTGGAAAAAAAAAAAAACTTTTGAAAGCAATATTTAGAATGAAATGTGTGCCCAGGGGTGGGACAGGAAGCAGTAGTAGGTACCAGCAGCTCACCTTGTGGTGTTAATTCACTGCTCTAACCCAAAAGCTCCACAATCAGCTGGGCTCTTGGGCCCAACATGGAGCTGATATGCTGCTTTATTTGAATCACTATTTGAAACCAATAAAACAAAAAACATCCAGATAAGAAGTTTAATTTCAGAAAGTACAACCATACCATTAAAATCTTAATTATGGCATACAATTTGGCATATAATTAGGCATGATCTAAAGTATATAATAATTTGGCTGAACAAAAGGCTTTCCAAAATACTGTTTATAATTGATTCTACATGCAATAATTTCCTCAGGAATCGAATATTTCATTAATTCACAAATGACTATTTAGTATGTTCAATAGTGCTTGCTTCTCAGCTCTTGACTGATGGGTAGAATTACTTTTTAACTATTTGCAATGTGTTTTCTTTCTTTTTTTTTTTTTGTGCATGGCATTCTGGTTCACATTTTGTACTTTCTTCCATTAAGTGGGATATAATGGTATTTATTTACAACTAGTAAATCCAGAACAATCGATTTTATTTTGGTGAAACAGCACCTTTGTTATAATTCAAACCATACTATTTACTGTTTCTTTTGTTTCAGTAAGAATAATTGTGAGCATTTCTTAAGCATATTATGGCTAGGAAGAAACTTTGATGCCATACCACTGTCACAGAGCCTTGAAATCATGTTGTACCTATCATCATTATGTTTTCATCACAATTAAACAAAATAATCTTTTTAAGAGCTCTAAAATATATGAACTAGAAAATATAAATCTCTTCCATTGAATAGGTCAACTGAACCCAGTGCATAATTAGCATGCTGTCAAATTTCAGAAGGCATGCTGACATTTTATGTGACTTCCTTTGTTTATGTTACTTCTATAGTTTCCCCAAAGTTGAGCAAATCCTACTATTTTAGTTCCTTGCACAAAAGTGGACAAGATCACTTGATACTGATGTCCACTATGGTTTAGGTCTTAGATGATGTTCTTTCCATTACATGGTAGGACAGGTGTGGGCAGGATACATGGATGTGCATCAGAGTAGGGAACTGGATTCACCAGGCCAGGACCTTTCAATGAACTAACCCTGTTCATTACATATTTTAGATGTCGTGTTTTCAGTCTACTCTACCTAAAGTGCATCTAAAGTACTCCACCATCTAAGAAGATGAGCAGTGAAACCTCTGTGAAGACCGAATTCGAAGGAAATAATGACAAGTCGTGATTTATTAAAAATAAAATGTGATTCCGGGGGTTATCAGATATCAAATTTGATTAGTTTACTACAATTGTAATAAAATGCTTAAGTCATTTGAATAAGAAGCATCATCCACATCATAAATTCTGTACAACAGATGCTTTTATGAAATGGAGCCACTTGTTTTTCATGTTGTAATATACTAGGCATTTATGTATTACTGTGTATTTCTTTTTAAATGTGTAAGTCTTATGTAAATGGATATAAATATGATTTTTTTAAAAATAAAATATATGGTTCATGGAGTCTTGAGTGCAAACATTTGACAATTCCAAGTACTGTTTGTATTTTACCATTTCACCATTTTTACAGTTTTTGAATTGTAACAAGTCAAATCAATATGTTTCCTCGAAGCATGTTTCATGCTTCAACATGTTTCTCCTTCAAGTCTGTTAATCCTTAAAGCTGAATACCTGCCTCTGATCATGTAAAAAAGAATGATTTAACCTGGAACTGGAGCCAAAAATGACCTTTAAAGGCAATCAGGGATGTCCTTATCTCTAGAAATAGCACTGTGATGGCTTGATCTCCTTTTCAATACAAAACAAAGCCAAACTGTTTACGAGTCAAAAGCAATTATTTAAACAAATTTATATTAAAAAAAATCTTCTCTTGTTACCTGTGGACCAAGAAAAAACAAAACAAAACAAAAAAAATAAAACACTTCTTTCCTAATAAACACATGTTCATTCAAATACCTTGAACCGTCAGCCCACACTGGACAGTGAATGTCAACCACAGCAGAGACTGAGGCTCATTTCCACTGGAAAAACAGAACCCAGATATCCTTCCTTTTTGTCAATGGAACAGAGCATTTGCCAGACTCATGACTAATGTTATAAGCTTTTAGCCAACATGGCCTTCTTGTGACTTCCCTGAAGTCAGTTTTATCAGAGGAAATAAACAAAAGGCAGAATGGTTACATATATAGTGTATAAAAAGTATAGAGGAGTAATCTCTTCCCTGTGGCTTTATTTGGTGGTGTTATTGTTGTTTATTCTTTGTTTATATGGAAGATTTCAAAGTAAAATCTATTTAATAATACCATTTATCTAATTGCTGATTTTCTGCTGCTTGATCTTATTAAGCGCAAGACCTGTCATTAGTAATTTCTTTTTGTACTTTAATTTGCTGTTTGCACGTACATTACATTTGTTTTGATGTCTATTTTTGTTTAACAGATACAGTCAAAAGGTAATGGTAACAGAAACCCTCTCCATTGTCAATAAAAAAATACTTCCAGTTCTCTGTTTAAGCTTTATTTTCTAGTAACATAAAATTTGACAATTTATTTGAATTATAATGGATATCACTCTTTCAGTTACTCTCAAATATTTAACTTCAAAAGTAAGTCCGCCACTAGAGGGAGTACTAAACTAGCTTATGGACATGATTTTAAATTTTCTTAAAATGCTGGTTGAGCAAAAAACAAAGTAAAATATCTAAACTCATCTAAAAATGGGGAACTTGATTCATAAAAATGAAATGTGATATAGATGCTATGATATTAAAATATTAGATATAGATTTGCATTTACTCTTATACACCACTGTGATAGCTTTCACTCCAAAGAAATACCTGCAAAATGAATTTATAAAGGGAAAAAAATTTTTTTTCAGTTCACAGTTTTGGAGGCTCCAGTCCAAGATTTGGCAGAGCCATTGCTTTGGGCCTCTGGTGGGTATGCCGGATGGCACCTTTGGTGCATGTGGAAGAACAAACAGCTCACCTCAAGGTCAGGAAGCAAATGAGAGAGGGGGAAAGGGTTGGGTCCCTGCAGCCCTCTTTGTGTTCATGCTCCCCACCCATGACCTAAGGACCTCACACAAAGCTCCTCCTCCCAAAGGTGCACACCAATTTCCAAGATACCACCCTGGGGACCACACCTTTAACACACAAGTCTTTGGGGGACACTCAGTATCCAAATTGGAGCAACTAGTCAGTTTCTTCTTTTTAGAGATCAGGTAAGATATATTAGTCATTTATAACAAACCCTAACATATATTGATGCCAAATCCAGCTACTTCTCTCAAAAAAAAAAAAAAGTATAAAATAAGCTGCAATTTATAAGATAACATTCTGCCAGATTCTAAAACCATTTAAAGGATTGACCTTAGAAATTCGGTGTTCTTTTGTGACACCAAACATTGTGAATTCCAACATTTCAAATGATCAAATCAGAACCTTTCAAATACAATTTGATATTAACAAAACTTCTTTTTAAAAGGCAAGGCAGGTCTCATTTGGTTACATTTAATATATTTTCATGAGAAAAATAATTAATTGTGAAACATTTTTCTATAGATTTTGAAAAATTTATTTTGATTTTTCTAATTTCTTATAGTATAAAGTGTCAGGAAAAGACCAAAAGTAGATCATGCAGAATTTATTTTACCAAATATAAGTATGATTGCATTTTTTAGTAACATTAAGTTAGTGTATTTAAAAGTACATTTAATTCACAATATTTTAGGTTCTATGTAGTAAAAGAGTTTTGTGGTCAAGTATTAAACTAGAAAATTCCTTTATTTTCCTCCCAAATTATAAGAAGTCTGATGACTTGAGTATATTCTTATTGACCAATTTTTAATCACATGAATGTAATAGTACTTTCTCTGACCCTGCAAATGGGATAAATGTTCTCAATGAGAAATAACTACTTCCTTTGGTCTTATGCACTGTTTTCCATACCCATTTAACTAGAAAATAAACCAAGTCTTCTTGCTGAAATGTCCCTTCACATTTGGTTGCCAGGAAAAATGTACAGGAAAACAACAACAACAACAAAAGTAAACTTTACACAATTCTTGGACCTGCCAGAGTTTGTAACTTGCTAATGAACAATGATACACCTTCAGTTAAAGAATTTGCTATTTCAAGTTAACTGACTCATGTGAAAAAAATAAGGAAATACATTTTAATGCTGATATTAAAAATAGTTTATTTATAAGTACTACAGTTGTGATAATTGATAAAATGCATCCAATAGAAAAGATATTTCAAAGAACTCAGCAGCTTCAAGTTATTAAATGTCTATATAGTTAGTTTAATCCTGATACTAAAGTAATTAAAGTCATATATACTTTTCAGGACTTACAATCAAGAAGGGAGTTGAAGCAAATAGGAATTTCCTTTGAGAAGCCATTTATTTTTTAACATACAGTCCAAAAGGAGCTAACATTTTCAGAATGTTTTTATATAGGTTGTAAATAAACTTTACAACACAAACAATAAACCCTCATCTATTATATCTCACGTATATTTCATTTACCTGGACTATTATGTTAGAAAGATCTGCTCTTAATAACAATGTTTCCAAAGGACTGAAAAATTGAGAAATACTTTGAGAAACTTCCAAGATTCACTGGGCATGGTACATGTTTTGTGATTAAATGTATTCTTTGATAACTGATGCATTTAGAACCCTAAGTAAACAAAATAGCTAATCATCTATTTTTATCTATTGATTGGTACATTACTGTAAACTTACTAAAGACTCCTTTTCAAATTCTTTTTAAAAGGATTAATAATTTTATAGAAGTCTAGAAGGAGAGATGTGTTTGGGCATAATAATTTTCAAATGAATTATTTATTTAAGAATTAGAATTTTCACATGAAACAATGGATTTTTGATTTCTTTTAAAAATCAGAGGTTCTTACAATAGGGGATCTTTTTCCCTCCTGGGCCATATTCTGCTGGGACTGGGTAGAGGCTGTTCCCTTGATGGAACAGATGCTCTCCAGTCTCCACCAAGCCTTATTTTCCTGAAACTTGAGATAAATGGCTCAAACACACATGAAAAGATCACTGGTGTTATAGTAACTCCTTGAAAAGTCCCTTGATCTTTAACTTATTGAAAAAGCCTTTCGAATTCTTCTTTAAGAGTTTTCTTTGCCACTCTACTCCATTTGTATATCATTTCCTTGATTCCATAGGAAATTGGAGTCATTAAAAAGTATACAGTCAAGTAAGCACCTGAGACATGAGTGGGACTTCTCAGGAGGCCTCAGCTCCATGATGAGAAGATGGGACGGAATGACTCTAGGGTCTCTGCCAGACCTGTGACTTCTTTTGCCGAACTGAAAGATGAGCTGAAGGCAGGGCTAATATTCCTGGCCACCCTCCTTCCCTGGAGACTCATGTGGCTAGACAGGTCCTCCTACCTAGATAAAATTTGTCCATCTGGATGACTACCTAAAATTCCCCATTCATCTTATTTCATTTAACACAATGTGAGTATCTGAAGAATATTAGGACATATTCAAAATTTCTATAAGAAAAAAATTATTTTCTAACCTTGACTTGAATATTTGAATGTAGATCAAAGCTGTGGATTTTTAACTTCAGGAATTATCTATATGAGAGGCATTTTCAGTTCATGTGTTTTGGGGGAGTATAACTTTTAAAAAATCATAGAATACATAGATTTTTCTAAAAGTGCTAGACAGCACATGATGAGCCATTTTACAGGCAACTGACAATGATATCAGTTGTGTCAAATCAAACAGAAGGTACAGATTTTTTCACTCATCTTGCTTAGACTACTTTAGACCAAGCTTTACAATTCACATTTCAACTGGCAAGTAATTTCTATTTAAATATTCATTTCTGGAAAACAGCTCAAATAATACCAACTAGACTATTAATTCAAAGTTGGAAAACAAAAAAATGTCATGATGCCTGCTTTAGCACTTCTTCTATGTGCCCAAAAATGCTGGGGTCTTCAATTGTAGGAGTTACCTAGAAAGAAATTCAGTGTCAGAGAAACGCTCTTCCTTGAACCCTTTTAATGATCTTTATAATGAAAACAATTATATGCAGTGTTGTATTTCTATATCATCTTAAATTATAACGCTTCTGTTAAAAATATACAAATGAGAAACTTTGGACTTGATATTTAAAAATGTATGTATAGTCTTTCGGAGTAACAAAATAAATGGTTTAATTAGCAAAACTATTGGTCCTAGGATGGTACTTTCTCTGGAGTTCCTTTTCAGAGCCTTTCTGTATATTTCCATAGGGAGTTTTATTTTTTTTTTCTTTTTGACATTTATTCATGCAAGTACACCTTACTGCTGCATTGGCTTTAATTAGATATTATTGATAAAAATATGTGTACTTGTGTACAAGTAATGTGCATACAGATTTAAAGACTATATCAGTCTAAAGATTCCTAAAATAATTTTCCCTTCAAATAGAAGACATAATTAGGACATACATCAATTAGAAAGTTTTTTTTCATTTTAATTGACTTTAATGATTATTGCTCATCTGCAAGGATTAATATTGCATTCATTAAAAATCATTCAATACAAAATGAACTTTTTCCTCCCAAGTTGCTCTCCACATGCTCCCTCTGATGCCAGACATTTTCCACAGTGTCCTTTGTTACATGGCTTGACAGAGACGGAGCCCTTACCTATTATTCCTATGGACACAGTAATAGCTATGGGATCAGAGGGCCGACCAATTAAAAAGTTTTAAGCATCTCTTACCAGCCTCAAATATTTTGCTTTCTCATTCACTAATAACCATTAATGGCTGGAATGAAGGAAAATGTACTTTAAATTCAACATGATCCAGTTTCTACAAGTATGTTTGAATTTAACTAACATAATAACTGATAGAAAAATATTTTCACATGGATTCCTATAATCAAAGCATATGATTTTAATTAATCTGCCTTTCTTGCTCAAACCCTCATTCCTACAGAGAGGAAATATGCGGTTTCCCTTTTAATATATTTTTAAAAGTCAGTCTAGTATGTTTTCTATGGA